CACCTTCTGTAAGGTTTTCATGTGGGGTGTTTTGTCACAGTGATGAAAAGCATCATCAGTAAGGTATTGTAGGCAACTGCAAGCAACAACAGCACATCCCCATGCTTTCAGAATAGGTTTGAGCCACAAGGGCTTAGGGGTCTATACCTTAGGGTAGAGGTGCTGCGGAGCACCAGACAATCCCTACCTAGATTACAAATTCCCTGGTTAACTGTCCTTCTAAGCCTTTTAATGGCTATAGTTAAGACTCAAAATCTGTGCATCAAATCAGTTTCTGCTTGGAATATCTACAGTGGCTTCTGTTTGACTCTATAAATCCCAGGTGATATCACAACCCAGGTGTTTTAGCTGTACCAAATTCTGTTCCTAATGAAATCAAGAGAGGCATTGGGAATCTGTGGGATGAGCAGAAGGAAAAAAAGTTATGATGCAGAAGACCTCCCTTCCTCCTTGTACAAAGACATTTCAGTGAACATTAAATGCTACCTATATTTGAAAAGTCCTCCCAGTGGGTGGCAGGAGTAGGAGATGCAGCTGGGGCAGCCCAGCCTCACACTTCTGCTTCCCGGCAGGTTTATATTATGGCTTGTATCACTGTGGGAGGGGAATTATACTGATGTTCACAGAAATAAGTTGCAACATCTTCAGGCTCCAGGCTGGTAATGGTGAGAGTGAAATATGTCCCACACCCACTGCCGCTGAACCTGGATGGGGCCTCTGCTCCAACACGTTTGAAGCATAGATCAGTGGTTTAGGAGCTTCTCCAGGTTTCTGTTGGTACCAATTTAAGTAATAGCTAATGTGTTTACTGGCCCTGCAAGTGATGGTGATTGTGTCTCTGACAGCTGCAGAAAAGAAGGATAGAGACTGGGTCACGTGGATGTCACATATGACACCTGGCACTGGAAACACAAAAACAAATATCCACACAATTAATCACATTACAAGAGGACTTCCCTGAAGAGCAGCACTGACAACACTCTGCTGAGCAAAGTCCCAGGACAGCCACAGCAGCAGGAGCCACAGAAACTTAGAGAGGACCCTGATGTCCAGGCTGTGTCCTGATTGGGACTGGTTTCTCCAAAAGGTGGGACCAGCCTTTAAGCAGTCCTCAAGGCAGTGGGCTGTGCTCAGGGCACATGTAAATCAGCTCTGCACTATGAAATGTACCTTAGAGATACAGAATTCATATCTTCCAGCTCAGAGAATTTGTATCTCTTAGAGCCCTAATTTATTCTAGCTTCCTAATCTCATTCATCTGTCTCTAGAAGTTTTATTTTCTTTAGAGAAAGGCTGTTTTCTGGGTATTCTCTTTATATCTTGAATTTTCCCCCAAATGTTCATGAATTCAGAGGAACACCTTTGGAGATTCAATCCATCATGGAGTTGCTATACTCTGCGATGTAGTCATCTCTGTGCATGTTCAGAAGCTGAATGGGCTCTTAGGGGGTCAGGCCTCATTGGATGGATGTCACAGGGACATGACCTCCTAGGTACTTATCCGTGGATCCTTCCTTTCATCTCCGCTTCTTAGATATCACAGGTTGAGTGCATTTTCCTCTGCCATGTACCTCTACCATTCTATTTCTATCTCTCAGCCAGACAGCCATGGATTAAAAGTCTAAGGCAAAATAACCCATCTTCTTTTGAATTGCAGCTGTTGCGTATGTGCTCTAGTGAGAAGAGAGCAACTAAGACATGGCGGATGGTAAACCCTGTTGATGGGAGAAAAACGCCTCACTCCCCTCCCCACAAACTTTTCCATTTTAAATCTTTAGATCCTACAAAATATGTTATATAATAAAGGAAACTTGACAGATGTGGTTGAGCTAAGGGCACTGAGCTTGGGAAATTCTTGAATTATCTGGGTGAGACTAACGTATACAGTCGCACCTATTGTAGGTAGGAAGAGAGACACAGAGGGGCAACACGACAAAGAAAAATGATGTTGGAGTGTTAGGATGAACTCTGGAGCAGGGAGTATAGGAGCATCCTGGAGCTGGAAAGTCATGGAATTTCATTCTGTCCTTCAGAGTTGGTTAAACGTACATACGCATCGTGACTCCCCGAGTTTAGCTTAGTGAGAATTCTGATCTCCAGATTGCAAGATGATCAATTGGAGCTACCTGAATGAGACCATGGTGCTTTGTTAGAGCAGTAACAGTGATTTTTTGCCTCTAAGTAGGTGGCTGTCTTCTGATCTCTCTAACATTTCTGATCTGTGTTTATTTGTTGTTAGTTTGGAGAGAGACATGGAATAATTTATGATAAAAAGATCTTGTGCCAGAGTTCTCCTTAGGTAGAAAACTTCTTCTTGGTTAAAAGACTTTTGTTCTTTGTCAGTCTGAGAATGTGAGAGCAGTGGCATCATTTGTTTCTGTATTAGGGAGGTCAATTTGATGTATAAATTAGAATATGAGAAAGCAGAATTGAGTTAGAGTGTAGGGAAAGGACAGAAGAATGAAGGAGGTTTGGGGATCATACAAGAGGTACCCTTGCCCACAAGTCTGAAAGTAGTCAGTTAGATCATGTGAACACTTATAAAGTGTGGTATAAAGTAATTCTCAGAAATGACTGAGTTTAATGTTGGATCAGTCTGGTATTGGGCAGAGAAAACAGGTCTTTATGAATATATACTTTCATTCAGGCTCTTTTCCCAACCTCCTTTATAGGCCTTGGCTTCATCTCTGAAATAATGGGGCCACTTGGAGCAATACAGTGAGGAGCAGACAGCCCTGGGTTCCAGTCCTCGCCCCAGCTCTCACTGGCCATTTGGTTTTGGAGTAAGCACGGTGTGCTCTGATTCCAGATTCTCTCTTCAGTGCAGCAGTAACTGTTCAAAGATTGTCATGAGGTCTAATCCCATGCTCTATTATAAAATGTATACTTGGGGCTGGGGATTTAGCTCAGTGGCAAAGCGCCTGCCTGGCAAGCGCAAGGTCGTGAGTTCAGTTCCCGGTACCGGAGAAAAACCAAAAAAAAAAATGTATACTTTTAGAGAACAGTCAGTTCCTTTATAGTATACTTTTGTGTAGGTGAAATTCAGAGAATTTATTTGTAACCAACTGCTAATAAGATGTTTTTAATGCTAAATCAGGAACATTTTTTCTGCAGCTGTCATGTGTCTCAGATTTAGAGCTCAAGTACTTAATCCTGAATAATCTCACCAACTAAATATCTTTAATTTAAATCTGCAAATGTTTCCCACATAATATACATGCACACTTTTTTATAGGCCTGAGAGTGGAGACACTATACTTAGTCCACTAAACTGGCAAGCTGGCCTCTATTTCTGTGATACATGAGGCAAATTATCAGGATTCACAATGGCTCCCTCTCAATCTCTTTTCTCCTCTTTTTCCTCCCTCTTATTACATCCCTCAGTGGTCAGGGGCTACATCTTTACACCTGTGCACACACATTCTGCAGCTTATTTTGGGGCTTGACCTTCAGATCAATTTGCTTGGCCATAACCTGTCAGAATCATGTTGTGAGCTCCACATTAAGAGCACACATCTTCCTTCTAGGTGGAGGTGATAGTCCTTGTTGGCCCCCTTAGTGTTCAACCTCACTGTGCTTTGATAATGTTGCCAGGCCTATATCTTCTTCACTGTGCTCTGTGAAGTTGGGTAGACAGTTTCTTCTGTACAGAGGGCAGACCCACAGACTCTAGCATGAGTGACCCCAGAACAGGTAGAGTGGATGATTACGTAAGTGATGAACACAACCTGTAGCTCCTTGACATGAGCTGAAATATCCCAGAGGTATTTTCTCTGCTTCCAGATTTGCTTCAGCTCCAGCCCTCCTCTTTGGTGGCTGATATACTGAAGGACCCCCTATTGTCCATTTCTCCTTCCTGTCAATTTTCCTCTACCATTCCATAGTTATCTGCTTGTAGTAAAAGTGCTTTCCATGTCAGAACTCTTAGTGTTAAGAGAACTGTCATAAACAAATGGACCAGTCATTATTCTTAGAGGCTATCTGTGCTCTGAATTCTTGTCAGTTCTCCTATGTCTGTGAGTAGGAAAATTAAGAAAATACATAAGTCATGTAAGTTATCCTTACTACTTGTTCTTGTACTGAAGTGAAGCATTAATTCCTTTTACAAAGTTACAGTGTCAAAGAACTCTAATAAATAGATATACAGTATAAAATCTATATTAATAACACAGAATGAGCCTCTCTTAGCTCTTCAAATTTTTAGCTCAGAGACCTCCTACCTTCCAGCTTCATTCTTTCATGAATCTTCCTTTTGAGATGTTGAATGTCCCCCTAAATAGTCATGTGGTCTCTGGTGGGCATTTGGATGTTTATTCTATCATAAGGAGTTGTTGGCTTCCATACCCTTTCTGCTCTCTCTCCTTCCTAGCTGTCACAGAATGAGTGCCTTTCCTTGTGACAGGCACATCTGCCATCCTGTGTCTACGTTGGAGCCAGCCTAACATGGAATAAAACAAAGACAAAATAAACCCCTTTTCTGGAACATTTTTGTGTAGGCTGTTTTGTCCCAGTGATGATAAGATCATCAGTAAGGCACTGCAGGCAACTGCAAGCAACAACTGCACATCCTTATGTTTTCAGGACAGGTCTGAGCCTCAAGGGGTTAGGTGCCGATGTCTTAGACCAGAGTTGCTGGTTGTAGCACCAGAGAATCCCTAGAGTACCAACTTGCCTGGCTACCTGTCCCTCTAAGCATTTTAATGGCCTTTATTTAGAGTGAAAATGCCTGTATTAAAACAATTCCTGTTTGAAATTGTGGTTTCTCTTTGACTATATAAAAATGGTGATATAAGTGACTGTAGAAATCCCAAGTGTTGTCACAGCCCAGGTGCTTTAGGTGCACCAAATTTTGTTGCTAATGAAATCAGGAAAGGCACTGTCAAGTCTGTGTGACTTGTGATGAGCAAACTCAAAAGTTAGGATGCAGAGAGGCCTCCCTGTCTTTTTCTCCAAAGACTTTTCTGTGAGCAACAGATGCTGCATAGATTAGAAAAACACTCTTAGCAGGTGCAACAGTAGGAGATGCAGCTGGGCCTGCCCAGACTCACACTTCTGCTTCCCTGGGTGGTTTTTGTTATGGCTTGTATCACTGTGGGAGGGTAGTTACTATACTGCTGACAGTAATAAGTTCCAACATCATCAGATTCCAGGCCACTGATGGTGAGAGTGAAATCTGTCCCAGACCTACTGCCACTGAATCTTGGTGGGACCCCAGATTCTAAACTGTCTGCACCGTAGATCAGCAATTTAGGAGCTTTTCCTGGTTTTTGTTGATACCAATTTAAGCTGTAACCAATGTTTTCACTGGCCCTGCAAGTGATGGTGACTTTGTCTCCTGCAGCTGCAGAAAGGGAGCTTGGAGACTGGGTCACCTGGATGTCACATCTGGCACCTGGCATTGGAAACACAAAAGCAAATATCCACACAATTAATCACATTACAAGAAGCTTTCCTGTAGAGCAGCACCTATGACACTGGGCTGAGCAAATTCCCAGTGTTACCCATCCTTACTTGGGATCCAGAGCAGCAGGAGCCCCAGGAGCTGAGCGGGGACCCTCATGTCCATGCTGTGTCGTGACTGGGACTGACCCCTCCACAGGGTGTGAGCATCTTTTAAGTACTTCTCAGGCCTGGATCTGTGCTCTGTGCACATGCAAATCAGCAGGGCTGCGGAGGGATGAGCACAGCTGCAGTGTTCAGGATTTGTAGCTGTTCTACATCAGACCAGGGCATTGTAGAGTTACCTGCACAAAGTGAATTTCTTCCTCAGTCGAATCAATTGCAAAACACCTTCAGGAACTGTTTTTAAAACTTGAATTGGATCTCCATCTGGATGTATAATCCTATTAACAGTTACATTAGCATTATGTTAAATAGTGCAGTCATGTGTACAGAGGATAGAGTATATTTTAGAGGGTGTGGATATCAGACCTTCCATTTCCTTTCAAAATTTCCTGTGTGTGTGTGTGTGTGTGTGTAGGTTGTGCTGGCAATGGGAATATTTTGTGTTGTAGTAACCACAGTTGTATAAGAACTTTTTTTGTGTTTTAAAATAAGTAGAACACTTATCAGGGTTACTTTAAACATACAGAAAACCAGAGAAATCATTCTGTAATCACTCTAAGCTATCACTACTTTAAGAATAATACCAAGCAAATTGTTGCAGATGCACAGCGATAATAACATGTTTCCCCATTGAGACTGTCACGTGCAGGTACACCATTATCCAAAGCCAGAGTGCTCTTTCATATCCAGGGACTAAATGAATGTACATTATTCTTGTTTTGTGCACCATTTCTGCTATTTGCTAATATTTCCCATGGTTCATTATCACGCAAGGCTTACTGGTGCTGCCAGATATATAACTTAATCAAAAATCGAGTTTTTTCTTTCAACACTACTGCCCTGCATAGAGAAACCATGAATTGTTGGAACAGTCTAGGTTTCCTAAAACCAATGATCTCCCTTGTTAGAAGAAGTGCAAGAATATGTGCCATGCCTATTGCCTTGTTCCACTTTTCCTTGTACCTCGTTCCTGCTTCCATGCCACGTGTCTCCAGCCTGACTTTATGCAGAGAGGTGAGGATAGAGGCTCTGGGAAAACCATCGTCCAGGAAACCCTCTAGCTTCAGTTAGGATGAGTGCTACCAGGTGCATTGCCTTATGCTTTATTCAATGCATTATTCATCCCTTACCATTCAACAGTGTGTGAGGACATCATTCTGATTCAGGCAACATTTTCAGCATCTCCATATTCTGGGAAGAATGTCTTCATTTCCTGTCAAGCCACTGCTGTTGTAACAGGAAAAAATATCTCATATACTAGTAAAATGAAGTAGTGAATTGAAACCTTGATGTAAAACGTGTTTACTTCTGTCTACCACATCATGGCCAGTTCCAGGAGCAAGGTACTGCTACCAGCTGTGTCTTCAGTGCCTATCCTTGCAGCCTAGGAATCCCACGGATATTGTTAGGCATGGCTGCATGGGATCAGAACACGAAGTCAAGACTTCCTCAAAACCTCCTGAAATCGCTCCTCAGGTGTGAACACTAAGGGAACTTGCTTGCATCTGACCTGCCAGAATCCATTTGAGAACTTCTCACTGAGAGCACACGTCTGTTATCTGTGTGTAGGGAACAGTCACTGCAGGTACCCTCAGCTTCTTCACTGTGCTTTGATGATTTTCCCGTCTTGTCTGTTCCCTGTGCTCTCTGAAGTTGAGGAAGGAAGCCCTTTCTTCACGGAGGACAAACCACAGTCTCCGTGTTCCCAGGACAGCCTCAGTGGATGATTATAGGAAGAGATGCGTACACACTCCGCCTCCTTAACCTCAGCTGGAATATTTTAGAGACATTTGCCGTGCCCTTTGAGACAAGCTTCAGCTCTCGTCATCCTCTTTGGTAAGTGATGTGCTAAGAGGCCTTTTTCAAATGTCTTCCTTTCTCACTTTTCTCCTTTCTTTCCACATTTTCCTGCTTATAGTAAATCCACAGTCTCTTTCTGAAGCCTTAGGGATGAATGAATCAAACTAATAATTTCTTCCAGCATTCTATTCTTGTGAATCTCCCTCTTGAAGTTTTATTTTCTTTTATGGAAGGGAACTTTTCAGGGTGTTTTTTGTTAAATTTTATTTTACTTTATTTTTTATCCTTTTGACAGGGTCTCGCTTTGCAGTCCAGGCTGGCTTTGAGCTCACTTTGTAGCCCAGGCTGGTCTCAAACTCTCAATGATCATCTTGCCTCAGCCTTCCAGAGTGCCGGGATTGCAGGCATGTGCCACCATGCCCAGCCTTTAGGGTGTTGTTTTAAATCTACAAAGTCCCACAAAAGGCTCACATATCCAGAGGTTGGGATTTTTTTTGTTGATTAGACCATGGGGACACTAAACTCCTCAGGAGATACAGCCATTTGTGAGGTCAGTAACTGAATATACTGTTATCAGTTGGGGCCTGGTTGGAAGTGGGTCACGGGGTGCATAATCTCAAAGGGTCTATTCTCATCCCAGAACCTTCCCTTCTCTTTCTTCCTGGTTGCCCTGGGTTCAGTGCCTTTTTCTCTACCGTGCTGTTCTGCACTCCTGGTTCTTCCTTTCTGTCAGCCAACCATGCACTATAACTTTGAGCCAAAATCTCATCACCCTTTAGATCATATTTGTTGTTATTGTTGTACCAGTGACAACAAAGTCACTAAGGCACTCGTGTTGGCAAGACCTACAGGTGGATGAAAAATACCTCACCCCCAAGAGATTTCCATGTTCTAATCCTTGGATCCTATAAACAGTATGTTATACAATAAAGGAAACTTGGCCGATGCTGTTGAGTAAGGACTTTGTATATGGGAGAGTAACTTGAATTACGCGGGTTAGATTAGTGTAAACACAATGGTACCCAGTATAGATAGGAAGAGAGTCACAGAGAGAAAACATGACAGTGAAGTGTGGCACTGGAGTGATGGAATGATATGAAAGTAAAAGGGAAACTATTAAAGAAGAAAGGGATCAAGTGGAGTGAGGAAGAGGAAATGGGTCATAGGGAGTAAAATGATTTCTGTGTCTTAGATGTAGGTACAAATATTACCGAATGAAGCCCATTATTATGTATACCTTATAAGCATTAATGGAAACTACTTATAGACACTAGATGTTTAATAAAGAATTGAAAAACTAAACAAAGACGAGTGAATTTGGCATTTATAATTGCTCTTTTTCCTCCATGTGAGAGAAAAAAATGTAGGTCACATGCTAAGTAGCTAAATAATAAAATTGTACCTTTAAAATTTTTTGGAATAGAAAAGTACAAAAATCTTGAGTGAAAACAATTCAGCAAATTATCATTAAGTGGACAATTTGGGTGACTAACAACCACTGACAAAATCTAGACCATGCTTTTGTCCCAAAGGTAACCCTATGTCTTGAATTTTAAAAACAAACATTTTTGTATCCTTATCATCTTTGTATGTATAGAATAATGTAATATTTGATTTAATGTAATTGGCATTTTGTTTGATACTATGTTTATGAAACACATTCATGTTAGTAAACATAAATCATGTTTATATATTTAAAACTTTTTTGAATGATTGTGTCTGTAAATGTATCATAAATTGTATCATTTTTTTGGTCCTTTTGAAACGGGGTCTCACTATGCAGTTCAGGCTGGTCTTGAGCTCACTTTCTAGCCCAGGATGGTCTCGAACTTGCAATGATACTCTTGCCTCAGCCTCCGGAGTGCTGGGATTACAAGTGTGCACCACCACTCCTGGCATAAATTATATCTTTACCCTGCCCTTGATGAACGTTTCATTTGCATTAGTTTATTTGTTGTATGCAGTGCTGTCATAACGTACCCAGCTATTTTGTGATGCATCTTCCATCGGTTGTGTGTATGCTGTGGTAGCATCCTGAGTCACAGGGTAAGCATGTGCTCATTTTCAGTAGACAATTGCAAACTACTTTTAATGTGAATGTACTATTACACATACATGTCAGAAGCATCTGAAATTGCCCATAGTGTTTTGCCTTCACAAATACTCAGTATTTTCAGTTTGCTAATAATTCATCTGTCTAAAGGCTTGGTAGCTACAACCTATTAAGGGAATTGGCATCTCCTGATATAGCAATAAGATTTATTGCTCTTGTACTTGTTTATTGAACATGTTTATGTGTCAATTTACTGCATTTTACTTATTTATTTATGCTAATTTTAGTAGGCTGACAGTAATAGGCTGCAGCATCTTCAGCCTCCATACTGGAGATTGTGAGTGAGTAACAGGTCCCAGAGCCACTTCCACTGAAGCGAGCTGGGACTCCCTAGGCCAGGTTTGATGTGCGATAAACCAGGAGCTTTGCAGAGGTGCCTGGCTTTTGTTGGTACCAGTTCAAGTAGACAGGGCTTACACCAGTGCTGGCCGTGCAGGTGATGGTGACCTGGACCCCTCAGGAAGCAGCCAGGGATGCTGGAGGCTGGGTGAGCACAATTTCACCACTGGACACTATGGTCCCGTAGGAGGGATGAAAACAGAAGTTAGCACAAATAGAGACACAAGTATGTGTTCATATCACGCTTTCTCTCTCTCTTACCTATGACACTGAGCAGCAGCAAGTTCAAAATTCGAGCCTGAAAATCCATTGTGTTTTCTGAGATTGCCTTGGGCTAAACAGAACTCTTCTCTTAAAATTACTTCTTAAAAGGAACTCTGAACAAGTTGTGGTTTCTCAGGAACCTATATTCAAATCAAGAGGCTGTAGGCTACAAGGTCCTTGGTTTGTATATTCACGGATTCTACCACTCTTTGGGGAATCTAGTTGGTATAGGGAAGTTCTGTCTTTTATTTTTTTCCTTTCCTTTCCTTTCCTTTCCTTTCCTTTCCTTTCCTTTCCTTTCCTTTCCTTTCCTTTCCTTTCCTTTCCTTTCCTTTCCTTTCCTTTCCT